ATAAAAGAAGAAAATAAAAGATAAAGAAGGAAGGTATCTTCTTTAGGCAGGTTTGATAATTTCTCAGAAATTTACAATCTTAAATATGTATGCCCCCAATAAAGGGCAAATTAAGTTTATCAGTGAGACATTAAAAACTATGAGGAAATATTTTGCAGGTACTTTGGTTGTATGCAGAGATTTTAATTTACCTTTGGATTCATCTATGGATAGAAACTCTATAAGAGAAACAAAAGCTGACCCCCCAGTTAGTCCAAAACTCTAAAAGGTTTAAAAACCTAATCTTTATGATACTTGGAGAACTTTACATCCGTTAGAGAGGGATTATTCTTTCTTTTCTCATAGACATAAAATGTACAGTAGATTGGTTTATATTTTTATGGATGGCCAGGGCATTTCCCAAATAAATATGCAGAAATAGGAGTGATCACCTGGTCTGATCGTGGGTTGGTGGGAGTAACTTCGGGCAATGATCTTTCTGCAAAGAAAAGTAGGCTATGGAGAATGGCGATAGATTTACTAAAGGACCCGGAAATATTAAACAATTTAAAAAAGGAAACGGCAGCATTTTTTTAAAGTAACGACAGCTCTGTAGATTCGAAACAAATGGTATGGCTCTCTTATAAAGCTTATATAAGAGGGATAATGATAAAATGGCAGTCAAGGTTAAGGAAGCAGAGAGGTAAATCAGGTAAATGCATAGAGAACTTATTATATTAGATATAAATTTTTGTTAAGCCGGGAGATATTGCAGCATGTTTTAAAAAATATTACCATGATCTTTATAATCTACATCCCCGAAGTATGGATAATGATGGGGAAAAAAGGAAAATAGCTGACTTTTTGGATACAATTTTTCTTCCTAAAGTTTCCCAAATAGAGTTGACAAAGTTAAACTAAGATATTACGGAACAGGAAGTTAAGTGGGCAATCTCAAAATTGAGAATGGGCTCAGCGCCTGGCCCAGATGGGTTAATTAATCAATATTACTCACTCTGCAAAGAGGAGATCTCTAACTACCTGTCCCAAACATTAAATGAAATTAAGAAAGCAGGCCAAGCACACCCGGAGTTGTTGGAAGCACAAATAATTACAATTTCTAAAACAAATAAACCAACACCAGAATGCAGTAACTTTAGACCTATATCTCTGCTCAATGTGGCTATAAAGATTTATGCTAAAATTTTAGTGGAGAGATTCAATCAATATATCCACAAACTGATTAATTTGGATCAAACAGGTTTTATTCAGGGGAGATTGGGTTCAGATAAATTAGGAAATTATTCAATTTACTCTCGGTGATCAAATATAATAAAATAGCAGCAATCTTCATAGGACTTGACGCTGAGAAAGCTTTCGACAGGGTGGATTGGGACTTTATGTTCCTCACCCTGTCTAAATATGGTCTAGGTGAATTTGCTGCCAAGGCGATAGCTGCATTATACTCTTCATCGACTGCTAGTGTTATCGGCAAAAACTTTCATTCAGGGAGGTTTGGTATTTCAAACGGCACCACACGTTGCTCACTATCTCCATTAGTCTTTGCCTTAATCACTGAACCATTGGCGATTGCGATTAGGGAATTGACAGATATAACAGGAAACCAAAGGCACTGTGTCATTTCCCTTTATGCAGATGACGTGATAATAACACTAGGAAATCCTGAAAAATCTTTAAAAGCTCTTTATTATAACCGAGTACAGTGTAGTTTCCAATTATAAGTTAAATGTAAAGAAATCTGAAGCATTGTCGTTTAATATGGGGCAAATTGTGACAAATTTATTAATTCAATTATATCCATTTAACTGGCAACATTCAATAACTCATTTAGGGATAAAACTCTTTGTTGAAAATGAAAAGAATACTGACAGTTAATTATCAATTAGTTTACTCTAATATAATGCAAATTTTGGCTACATGGATAAACCGCAATATCTCCTGGTCGGGTAGAATAGCAGCGATTAAGATGACAATATTACCTAAGATCATCTATATCATGTGCTGTATGCCCTGGCAGTGTTCCATTTATTTGCTCAGTAAGCTGCAGAGGGCGATTGATCTATTAATCCATCAGAATAAAAGAATGTGAATTAAGATACCGATTTTGGTTAAAAAATGTACTAATGGAGGGTTAGCATACCCAGACATTAAGAGATTTCAGGAAGCCGCCCTATTGGCACACATCCTGAGATGGGAGGAAGAGGAAAAGAACAGTAATTGGATGTCGATAGAAGCTTTTTTTTTTTTAAACAAACACATCTGAACTCAATAATCTGTTGAGATGATGTATCCGGTGTCCTAATGCATAGTAAAGATTTGACAACTTGGTATATTGCTAAATGTTGGCTGAAATTGAACTGTAAATATTCTCTGATTCCATTCCCAAGCCCTATTACTCCTATTGTTTGGCTGTGGGAACATATTCAGTCTCCCTTGCTTGAGAGGCTGTGGAAACTCAGTTGTAGACACTTAAAAGATTTATATGTTAACTAGAAAAGCTGCAATTTCTGGGGAAATTGTGTAAAGTGTTCTTGCCTCCACCAGTAGTCTACAACTGGAGTGGGCGGAGTAACTGTTATTATTTATTTATATAGCACATTTAAATGCAACGTTGTTGCCCAAAGTGCTTCACAGTTACATTAAAACATACATTCATAAAAACATTAGCAGGTGTACAAAAGGCCCTGTCTATGACATCACTTGCTGTTCTAGCCTGGCACAGGTCAGAGTATTTTGGCGGTTGCCATCTTGGTCGTATTTTAAAAACTATACATCCTTCAGTGAAGAGCTTTATATTGTGAGAATCACAAGACCCAGACCTACATTTTGATGCATTGTATGTCTCTGAAGTATTAAAAATGAAGGCACAGTCTCAGTTTAGAAATTGCCCTTCAAGTTTGAGCTGGCTAGAGTGGAGTTTCAATGAATGTCAATGGACGGCATGAGTTGCAAACAAATGGTCATATCGTAAAAACTACCAGGACTATGGCTTAGCCGTGGACATGTTTAGTGGCAGCAGGGATATCTGAACGATTTGATGTAAGATTTGTGTAGGTGGGCTTGAAAATGAGGGAGTGGTGGCAGATAAGAAATCATCTACTGATTTTTCTGCTTTTGCCTGCCCCCACTCTAGTTTTGAACATTTTGTCATTCATTCCTATGGCACCAATTTTGCCACAAGAACGACGATATTCCGTGAACCATTTGGAGAAACGTTCCACAAAGTAATAGCAATTCAATCGGGTACTATCTGCACGTTTTGGTATATTACGGTCTATGTAGTGTAAAAACTGTGGGAGGAGTTAGGGTGGTAAATTTGGCTATAATAAGAATAAGAATAAGAACTAGAAAAGCTACAATTTCTGGGGAAATTGTGTGAAGTGTTCTTGCCTCCACCAGTAGTCTACACCTGGAGTGGGCGGAGTAACTGTTATCATTTATATAGCACATTCAATTGCAACGTTGTTGCACAGTTACATTAAACCATACATTTATAAAACATTAGCAGGTGTTCAAAAGGCCCTGTCTATGACATCACTTGCTGCTGCAGCCTGACACAGGTCAGAGTATTTTGGCGGTTGCCATCTTCAAACGGTCGTATTTTACAAACTATAAATCCTACAGCGAAGAGCTTTATATTGTGAGAATCACAAGATCCAGACCTACATTTTGATGCATAGTATGTCTCTGAAGTATTAAAATTGAAGGCACAGTCGCAGTTTAGATATTGCACTTCAAATTTGAGCTTTGTAGAGTGAAGTTTCAATGAATGTCAATGGACGACATTAGTTGCAAACAAATGATTATATTGTGAAAACTATCAGGACTATGGCTTAGCCGCTGACATGTTTAGTGGCAGCAGGGATAGCTGAACGTTTTGATATAAGATTTGTGTAGGTGGGCCTGAAAATAAGGGAGTGGTGGCAGTTTAGAAATCATGTCCTGATTTTTCATCTTTTGCCAGCTCCCACTCTAGCTTTGCCATTCATTCCTATGAGACAAATTGTGCCACAAGAACGACGATATTCCGTGAACCATTCGGTGAAACGTTCCACAAAGTAATAGCAATCCGATCGGGAACAATCTGCACGTTTTGGTAAATTTTGGTCTATGTAGTGTAAAAACTGTGGGAGGAGTTAGGGTGGCAAATTTTGCTATAATAATAATAATAATAATATATATGTGAGATAATATTAAGTGGTCTTGCTATGCAAGAACACTTAATAATAATAATATATATGTGAGATAACATTAAGTGGTCTTGCAATGCAAGAACACTTAATAACTAGAAAAGCTACAATTTCTGGGGAAATTGTGTGAAGTGTTCTTGCCTCCACCAGTAGTCTACAACTGGAGTGGGCGGAGTAACTGTTATACTTTATTTAGCACATTTAATTGCAACGTTGTTGCACAGTTACATTAAACCATACATTTATAAAACCATTAGCAGGTGTTCAAAAGGCCCTGTCTATGACATCACTTGCTGCTGCAGCCTTGACAGGTCAGAGTATTTTGGCTATAATAAGAATAATATATATGTGAGATAACATTAAGTGGTCTTGCTATGCAAAAACACTTAATAATATATATGTGAGATAACATTAAGTGGTCTTGCTATTGTGAAGAAACCCGTATTTATTTGAGTTTTATGTATTTTGTTATAAAACCAATAAAAAATATTTAATAATAATAAAAAAACTCACTGACATATATATACATGTTCTCAGAAATATGCTCACCCCTATACTAACATACAAAGACACTCAATTGCAGCAAACATACAAATACACACCACAAGACACACACAAGATTAACCCACTGATTTAACTGCAAGACACACATTACACTTAGATAGACTTTGCACTCACAAAAACTCTGTACATGTCTAACAAGAGGAGAGGATGTGAGAGGCATACACAGACTCCACTCTTTTTCTCTCTCTCTCTCAATTTTTGAGGAAAGTGAGTACCTGAATCTATGTTACTATGTATGATTTTCAATGGGGGTTGAATACTTCTGATTACAACTGTACATGTATATATATATATATATGTGTATATATATATATATATATATATATATACATGTACAGTTGTAATCAGAAGTATTCAACCCCCATTGAAAATCAGGTAAATTTACAGACTTTCAACTGTTTACAATGAACAAATCGAACTAAAGGAATTGAAATAGCTCAACACAACAAATTGAAGTGGTTTCCCCAAATTCAACTGAAAATGCAACTAAAAATGAAATTTCCCAGCCAAGATGGTAACCCATTTGTTGGTGGGTACCCTGTATAAAGCACATTGTCTTTTGAAATCTGCAAGGTACCCATCTATTTCTCCTTCTGTCTCCTGGAAACTTTTAAAAGCAGCAAAGGGTACCTTCTTTTGTTCCATCATGGGTGCAGGTGTGACTTCTCGTCGTTGAAGCTCTGCCAAACACAGCTGATACTGACGCTTCTCCCTGGCTTCAGTATCCGCAGCGGCCATCACTTGAGTAATAATGTCTGCAGGAGGTTTTGGCCCATACAATGCCAACCGTAACAGAACAGAGCGCAGCAAGTCATCTTCCTCGTTCGAGACAACTGGTTCAGGTGAAGCATCGGTTCGGTCCATCTCTAGCAATTCGGCTATTAATTCCCTTTTCTTATGATTGATGGCTGTTCGGCCACGGCTCTCCAACAGATCTTTTAAAGTAGATCGTTTCAATTGTCAGTACCAATTCTACATCCGCTCCTTCCTTCTTTAAATCCTGTTGTAGCCTCTCCTCTGGGGAAAACATCCCACCGCTGCCACCAGATGTGGCGGACACCCCGATGGGAAGAGGGGTTTCGCCGCCAGAGATGTTCCTTTCCCCTAATGTGAGTAGAGCTGAAATAATCCTGGAAGCGATAATCCTAAAATGTAGTGAAATAGCTGTTATAGCTGTTCCCTACAGACACAAGACGAGGCTCTGTGTTGAGGGTAAAACTGGAACTGCTTTAATGGGAGCCACACCTGGCCTTTTATGCAAGTCCCCATGCAAGGGGTTTCTGGTGAAACATTCCAGATGCATACCCCACTGGAGCTGAGAGGGGACAGCAACATAAGCAAACACATAATTACATTACCTCTCAGGTCCAGGACAAGCATAATAAAAAATACCTCAAAATATATATTTAACAGTGAGATATCACTTCAAGTTCTATATCCCCAGATAGCCTGGGTCTGACATATCCCAAAAGCGCTCAGATTCCAAAAATGCAGCCAAAACGCCACCGGGTTATAATTTAGACTGACCGCACACGAGGCACCTGCCCAAAATACACAATATTTATATATGAATAACAGTTTGTGCATATGTTCACATAGTATCTGTGGTTCGGGAGATGTTTCCACCGAACGCCGCTTTGTTCGTATGAATAATACCGAATATATTTGAGTATGGAAGCCTCAGTAGTGTTCGTGTCCCAAGATGGCCGCTGCAACGTGTTCGCATATAGGAACAACGACCACCCAACCGACCGCTTAGAATGTTGAGGTGATTGCGGTTACAGAGGTGTTAGCAGAGGTTAATGGTGTCAACAAGCGGCACACTCCACATATGGGTGGTCTGTCGTTCGGTAGATTATTCCGTATTAGAACGGGGCAATGTTAACATATGTGATGGATGTATTTCACCGAACAAACAGGCGAAGGGAACAAAGAGCTGTAAAATCTAGGGACAGGGAGATCTGTCACAACACATATATACACACTGACACACATCACGTCACGAGAGAGGCGGACCTGGAAGTGATCACGTGATCGGGACGGACGAAACCAGGAAGTGACTTTCTATCAGCCATTTATATGCTTTTATGTGGGTAGCTATGTCAGCATAACCCACCACTCACAAAGTAAGAGTTTTTAACTCTTGTCTTTTAATAAAGTGTATTTGATACTATTCAATTGGAGGTCCTGCCTCTCTCTGTCCTGGACACTAGTATATTGCACAGCTTAACCAGTTTTCAAGTGAACACACCATTTGGAAGCCTACCAGTGTGGGAATTTTCCCTCTCAAGTGGAGCATTACAAACCCAGAGCCAGGGGTGATAGGGCTCTGGTCAATGTGACCCCCCTATATATACTTTGTTTAGTTCAGATGGTCTGCACTATTCTCTGTTTTTCTATATTTTCAGATCAGTTTAGCGCACTTTTGTGGTAATTTTTTTTATTTATATATATAGGTATATGTCTGTGCGTGTATATCTGTGATTGTGTGTATATATATATATATATATATATATACACACACACTTAACCACAGAGATACACACACAATCACACACATAAACACAGACATACACAAACACAATCACAGACCCACACACATACAATCACATACACACAATCACATACACTCATAATTAGATATACACACACAAACATTACATACATCCCTTGCTCTGGGAGGGCTGGAGTGGATCCTCAGTCCCTGGTGATCAGTGGTTGCTGCTGTAATCTCCGTGCTCTTCCTGCACAGGTCCCTTGCGCACCCTTTAATATGACGACGATACTGGGACGATGTTATATGCTAGCTCACTGCAGGGCGAAGACTGTCAGACACAGTCAGATGCACACAGTTATACACATATACTGTCAAATACAGCCACATGCACACAGTCCCAGACACATAGTACTTGCCTACAGTCAAACACACAGTTACAGGCAGACAGTCACACACAAATAGTTGCAGGGAGACAGTCACACACAGTCCCAGGTAGACAGTCACAGGCAGACATTCACACACACAGGCACAGGCACACAGTCACATACACACACACAGTCACAGAAAGTAAGTCACACACACAGTTACAGGCAGACAGTAACACACACAGTCACAGACAGTCACAAACACAGTCACAGGAAGACAGTCACAGGCAGACATTTGCACACACAGGCACAGGCAGACAGTCACACACACACAGTCACAGAAAGTTAGTCACACACACACACACACACAGTTACAGGAAGTCACACACAGTCCCAGGTAGACAGTCACAGGCAGACATTGACACACACAGGCACAGGCAGACAGTCACACACACAGTCACAGACAGTCACAGGCAGACAGTCACAAGCAGACAGTCACAGACGCAGTCCCAGGTAGACCGTCACAGGTAGACATTCACACACACAGGCACAGACAGACAATCACAAGCAGACATCACAGATGCAGTCCCAGGTAGACAGTCACAGGCAGACATTAACACACAGTCACTGGTAGAGAGTCACATATACAGTCACAGGCAGAGACAATCACAGTCCTACACACACACACACACACACACATACACACACACACACACACACACACATACACATACACACACACACACACACAGCACACTCTCTCACTTACTGGAGGAGGAGTGGAGTCACTGAAGTCCCAGGTGTGTAGTGTAGTTGGGGAAGCCCTTCCTGCTTCCCCTGAATGTGAGCTGTGTCTGCTGCCTGGCGCTCCTGCTGCTATGGCTCCCTGTGCTGCCTCACAGCTCACACAACCCCAAGCCTGGCCAGCCCTTGTGGCACCCTCCTACCTTGTGGCACCCGGGGCAAACTTAGCCAACTTCTAAATGATAAACCTCAGATCATTTTCTCCCAAGCCCCGAATCTGAAACTCATGTTGGCACCTACTACCAAAACGAGAACTCATGTTCAAGATAATAAAGAGACTCCATTAGAAGACTTTTCACAGTGCAACAAATGTATAGGGTGTACGAATAACCCCTTTCTAGAACCTACTAGTAAAATTGCTAAATGCGAGAAATACAGATTGAAATCCAATTTGGACTGTAACACATCGGGTGTAATCTACCTCCTTACATGTCTGTACCCCAAACAATATGTGGGACGCACAAAGAGACCTCTGAAGGTTAGAGTTTCAGAACATATACAAAATATTTAAAGAGGTTTACAAACACACAATCTTTGTAAACATTTTAGTGAATATCATGGCAGAGATCCAGTGGGTTTACAATTTTTACCCATTGAGAAAGTTGTTGTACACTGATGAGGGGGGATCTGGAGAAAAGTTTAGATCAAGCAGAAAATGGATGGATATTTACTTTAAATAATCTATTAATCTATCAATCTATTATTGTGGAACTTTTATTTGTAATTTTATTCCGTGGACTAACTATTTATCATTTAATTCCAGTTATCGTGGACTTACTATTTATCCTTTTTTTTTCAGTCATGGTGGACTTACTTTTTATTATAGCTGGGATTCTTAGTCCTCCATTCTATGTACACTTCTGATTATTTGCTGTTAATTTTAAGTGAGTGTATTGTAGCTCCTGGATTTTTTATCTTACTTTATTTTCTTAAGTAAGTAATATTTGTACTCCTCTCCACTAGAGACCACAGGCCTATAGCCTCCTGCTCCTCCCCTGTGACGTGGTAGCTCCGGATGGTTCTCCAGATGCCTCTGCATGCAGTGCTGTATTTGCGGTGAGGCAAACAAGGCATTTGCCTCAGGCGGCACTTTCAAGGGGGTGGCAAAAATCGCCACCCCCAAATGCCCAGGCAAATGCCCTTTTAGCCTCGGGGCAGGCGGCTAGCTGATGTCCAGGCAGGCAGCCAAGGAGTGCTGATTTCTGAGCTCTCCCTGCTCTGCTCCCTCGCATGCAGCATAATGATGCCGGAAGGCGGAATTTGACGTTACATTCCGGTTCCTGGCATCACTCTGCGGCGAGCTAGTGAGCTGAGCAGGGAGAGCTCAGAAATCAGTGCTCCCTTGTCACCCGCCTAGACCTCAACTGGCCACCTGCCTGCCAAAACAGTCCAGCCAGCAGTCTCACTGAACTCCAGGTAAAAACTCCACCCTGCTCTCCCAAATGTAGGGAGGCTGGGTAGATTTAAATTAAAATAAAAAAATAAACTGTTAGTGTTGGGGTGGTGGGGGGAGGGGAATGTGTGTGTCTGTCAGTGAGTCTGTGTGTGTATATATGTCAGTTTGTGTCTGTCAGTGAGTGTGTGTATCTGTGAGTGAGTGTATGTCTGTCATTGAGTGTGTATCTGTGAGTGAGTGTATGTCTGTCAATGTGTGTCTGAGTGATTGTGTCTGTCTGTAAGTGAGTGAGTGTTTGTGTCTGTCAGTGTGTGTCTGTGAGTGTGTGTGTGTCTGTGAGGGAACCTGTATGTCTGAGTGATTGTGTGTCTGTGAGTGAATGTGTGTGTGTATGTGTGTGTGTGTCTGATTGAGTATGCCTGTCTGTGTGTGTCTGTGGGTGGGTGTCTGTCAGTGTGTGTGTGTGTCTGCTTCATTATGTGTGTATGTCAGTAAGTGTGTACCCAGGTCCCCACTAAATTACATCAAGTTGTAGCAGCGTTGCTTTGTCCTCTCATCTGGGTTGTTTAACCCAAAATGTCAACGTGGATCAGGTCCGTTTGTGTGGATGGCTGAGGGCTAGGCCCTATATTGTTGAGACGCATGACTGCATGTTGAGGCATTTAAACAGGTCAAAGGCATGGTGGGTGCATTCGCATGGTGCGGAGTCCCCCACAACTGGAGCATTGTCTTGGGTTTTGGTGGGCTTGGGTGGCTTGGAATAGGCCTAGTTTGAGAGCCCAAAATCAGACCCGGAGAAGAT